GCAGTGGGACAAAAATGCCCCTCAGCTGCAGTGCCCACGCGCCGGCAGCGCGTGGGTGTCTAAATCAATTACCCCTCGTCGGAAAATCTCCAAATCTCGGCCCAAGACTCCTATCCTAGGTAATAAACCTAATTTGGAGTCACTTTTGTTCTTGGACGTACCCCAAAAACTAACTGGAAGTGGCCGGAATCTCATCCCGAAATCCGGCCGAAATCCAATTCGAAGATCAGACATCCTACGCTCAAAATCGATGCAATCCTACCCAACCATCAGCTAGCTCATGAAAAATAGGTAGAAATCCATACCTTATACGTCCAATTTGGTGGAGAAACGAGAGAGAACGAGTGATTTGAAAATTCGAGAAAAATCGCCGGATTTTCTGCAGTTTCCGGCGAAACTCGCAGCTACTGGCGACGGAGCTTGGCTGAGGTTGGAAGTGGAAGACCAACCGGTCATTTTGGGACCAACACCACCTCGAATGGTGGCCGGAGGAAGCGGTGGCGGCGGAAAAACCGCCGCTGCTGTTTTGACAGGGAAGAAAGGGAAGCTGCGCGGGGGGGGAGAGGATACCTTCAGATTTTATTAAAAACCCATTTCGAAATATTTACAATTATGCCACTGAAGGTATTTTGATCGTATCTCTCTCGTCACAACTCCAATTCGAGCCCACTACGTGTCTACGGACTCATCTCGCCGTGCTCTACGCAACGGTACTGTTGAAATTTCCAAATTCCATCCCGATCAAAAAGTCAACTCTAAACCTCACAAAATAATCTAAGGGCAAAATGGTCCTTTTATCTGAATAAATTAATATGCACCAATTTATTTACGACAGGGTCGTTACAAACTGCTAGAAACACACATTGCTTTTTGCAAGGACAACCACTATTTACGTGAATAATAGCTGCCCTAGTCCCCCCTTGCCATGGCAAAAGGCAAACTGTTGAAAATGCTCTTAGTTTGTATTACGGGTGGTTCCCTGTGGTGTGGGGTTAGTTTGTATTTTTTATTTTTTTTAATTGGTGAGACATGTTGATATCAAGTGTGTTTGTTAACAAATGGTATTTTATTTGGATGAGATATGGTGATCACGTGGGCTGTGGGATTATTTTAGGCTGCAAAATTTCAATTCACTTAGGCTACAGTCCAGGTTAGTCTGGATGTGGGATCGTTCTTGCCTGGGCTAGAGCCCATGGTAGCCTTGTTGCTAGTTCCGCAGGTGTATGAAGCATTCAAAGTGCTTGTCATGAATTATTTGGATGTAGAATCACATGAATCGTTTGGATCCATCGAGAGTTTGTTGGGGGAAACCGATATGACTCCGGCTGATGTTGCTGAGAATTTGATGCCTAAATCTGATACAGAGGATGCAGACTCTTGTTTGAAGAGCTTGATTGAAGCTCTTGAGGCTGCTAAGGTGGAGGGAAGAGTGAAGGCAGAGGAAGAAGCAAAATTAAAGGCAGAGAAAGAAGAGAAAGAGAAGGAAATATCTTGTAATGCTAAAGACGAAGTGAAATGTAATGGAACAAAAGATGAACTGAAAGGAACATCAGTTGCAGAAGTCAAAGAAAATGGTGTGACCCCGTGAAGAAGTTATGCCCCTTGAACGATGCATTGGGTCATTACCTCTTGAAGAGTCTTTATGTCGTACTCAAGATGTCAATTATATGTTCATTACTTTATGTCATTAGCAATTTTAACTAGTAGATCGTTTTGTGGGCAACTTTTGTATGTGCTTTATCAATTATCATCATTACTTATTGAGGTTTTTTCGGAGTTTAGTAACATGCCTAACATTTTTAATTGGGTTATTACTCAAATTGTCCTTAAATTTATATTTGAGTTGCATTTTGGTTCCTTACTTAAATTATTCATTCAAATGGTCCACCAACTCTATATTAATCAGCACATTGGTCCTACCCTTATAGTTTCTATTAGATTTAGCACATGCTACATTTATGAGAGTAAATAAGACTTTTGACACTCCAATCCTAACCCCCAACTCCCATTCCCTAGCCACACCTCAACAAACTCCAGACCTGAACCCAGCACCCCATCTAGGCGAACCCAATCTATCCATGTCTCTTCCTCTCTCTCCCATCAGCCTTCAGTTTCCTAAATAAAGAATTTTCAGTCATAATCTCCATCAAAACTGTCGCTGGGAAAACCACCATGGTCAGCTGACCCGACGAGATCTTGAAATTGTTGGTATGCAACGGTTTCTCACTGGGGAAGAGAGGGGTAGAGGGATAGGAGGAGGGGCAAGAGAGGGTGGGGTGCAAGGAGGACAAGATGGGGCGCTGGGCGATGGTAGTGGGAGAGACCAAATCACATATTATTTCAAGAATCTCATGTAGGCATTGGATTGGGGTGGATAAATTATTAGGAGGAGGTGTTGGAGTGAGATCGGAAGGAACATGTTAAGCCCCGTTTACCATTTTGTTTTCAATTTAAAAATATATATTTATATAGGCCCCCTTTTACATTGTTCTTCATTTCCACATAGCTCCAAAGGGATTGTACCCAAAATTTATACAGTATGATGAAAATAGAATCACGGTTTCAATCTTCAAGGGTCCCAAAATAATTATTGGTTTCAATGGACAATATCAGGATGTCCGAATGCAAGAGTTCAAACAGAAAAAATGTTGAAGAGAAGAAGGTGGGAGAAGGATAGACTTTTTTTTTTTTGTGTGTGTGTGGGTATATTATGATTTTTCAGTTTTTAATTTATTTAGTATTTTATTTAATTGGACTGTTTTACCCCTATATTTGATGGCAATATTGACAGAATGTAACGGTAAGATCAATGCGCGGATTAATAAATAGTTGGTGGACCATTTGAACGAATAATTTAGGTGAAGGACCAAAATGCAACTCGGATATAAATTTGAGGATTATTTGAGTAAATAATCCCTTTTAATTTTATTTTTTATCATTACAAAGGGAGATTCAAACTTGTGCACTCTTTGCAATGTAGTTGATAACAATTTTTTTTATTAACTCACTTTTAAATTTTTTGTTTTGTTTTAATTTTTAGTACAATGCCCATCTGTATGTAATTTTATTTGGCATGACCTAGTCTCCTCTCTTTGGGAGCACCCTGGACCAGGATCAGCTAGTCAACAGAATCAAACAAAAAAGAAACCATGCGACGAATCTGCATCTTTCCACGTTGGCCTTCTATGATTTCAGCTGGTATTACAAGTTGAATAACATGCCAAACCCAAAATCTTGGAAAGTATTTTTCCAGTCAGAATTTTCCAATACGTTAGAAACCTACACAGATTTGGTAGCTAGACATGTGATACGAGATTCTTTTTCCTTTGTCTGTATTTGGCGTAATTGCTCTGCACATTCACCAGCCAAGTGGGAAGGACTGCGCGCTGCATATTATTAACCTGGAAAGGGGGAAGGGCTATGCTTTTCCATCATTAGTCAAGACAGTGACTTGATGTTTGTCAAATTTGGTGGGCTTCGAACGTTCAATTAAGCACGCTTCCTCTTGGTATCTTTTAGTCGATGATATATAGTTATAAAGAAAGCACTGGGAAATTGGGTGAGTGATAATTCCGAGCAAAGAGTCTCTTCTAGTTCTCCCCTGTATCTAAACCAAACCTTGTCTTTCGTCTTAGTAAGAACAACCCTAACCTTCAACAGTTAATTTCCAAAAGAAAAGAGAGTGCAGAGGAAGATGATGATGAGGATGGGAGAAATGGGGGCTCAACTGGGCTCAGTCATTGCCAGTGTCATGTTTGTGTGCACTATTTTTCGACAATACCTTCCCCTTCAACTTCGCTACTATGTTGATAAATATAGCCACAAATTAGTGAAACTTTTCTACCCTTACATCCAAATCACATTTGATGAGAACACCGACGAGTTTCGCCGACGCAGCGAAGTCTATTCTGCCATCCAAAGTTACCTCAGCACCAAGTCTTCGACAATAGTGAGACGTCTAAAAGCTCATGATGCCAAAGACAGCAAGTCTCTGGTCCTTGCCATGGACGACAATGAAGAAGTGACTGATGAATTTCAAGGCATTAAAGTCTGGTGGGTGTTGGTGAAAAGAGTGCCTCAACAGACTTCATTTTCTTTCTACCCTCAGTCTGATGAGAAGAAGCATTATAAGCTCACCTTCCACAGACACCATCGGGACGTCGTCACAGGGGCTTATCTTGAACATGTGATCAAGGCGGGGAAGGCAATAACAGTTGGCAACAGACAACGAAAGCTTAATGTGAACAATCCTTCCCAGAATTGGTACACATACAGAGGGACAATGTGGAGCCATGTAGTCTTTGAGCACCCGGCAACATTTGAGACCTTGGCCTTGCACCCCAAAAAGAAGGAAGAGATTGTCAATGACCTCATCAAGTTCAGCAAGGGGAAAGAATATTATGCGAAAATCGGCAAGGCTTGGAAGCGGGGCTATCTCCTTTATGGGCCACCAGGCACTGGAAAGTCTACCATGATTGCTGCCATGTCGAACCTCATGAACTACGACGTCTATGATCTCGAATTAACGACGGTGAAGGATAACACAGAGCTGAGGAAGCTACTTATTGACACGCCTAGTAAGTCTATTATTGTGATCGAGGACATTGATTGCTCGCTTGATCTTACCGGTCAGCGGAAGAAGAAAAAGGAGAAGGATGAGGAGGATAATGAAGAGAAGGATCCAGTTAAGAAAAAGATGGAAAAAGAAGAGAGCCAACCAAGCAAGGTTACTCTTTCCGGGCTGTTGAACTTTATTGATGGGATTTGGTCAGCTTGTGGAGGGGAAAGACTGATTGTGTTCACCACTAATTATGTGGACAAACTTGATCCTGCTCTCATAAGAAGAGGAAGAATGGACAAGCACATAGAATTGTCCTACTGCTGCTATGAAGCATTCAAAGTGCTTGCCAGGAACTATTTGGATTTAGAGTCTCATGAATTGTTCGAAACCATTGAGCGTTTGTTGGGGGAAACCAACATGACTCCTGCTGATGTTGCAGAGAATTTGATGCCCAACTCTGTCACGGAGGATGCAGACTCTTGCTTGAAGAACTTGATTGAAGCTATTGAGACTGCAAAGAAGGAGGCAAGAAGGAAGGCTGAGGAAGAAGAAGCAAGTAGGAAGGCAGAGGAAGAAGCAAAACTCAAGGCAGAGAAAGAAGAGGAGGAGAAAGAGCAGTCTGCTAAAGATGAAGTGAAATGTAACGGAACATCAGCCAAAGAAGAAGATGTAAAATGAATGGAACATCAGCTGAAACGAGTGAAAGAAAACAGACTCTGCCATGAAAGGAAGAGAGTGAAAGTATCTGCATAATTTTAACCTTTCTTACCTATTGTAATAAGAAGACAGAGTCTGCGCCCTGATCAATCTGTGTTTTTCTTAATGCGTAATAAGTATCTTTCAATGAAGTTGTAGAATATTTTGTCTAGCCACATATGCATTTTTAATTTCATGCTAAGCTAAGGTTTAAGTTGCAACAACTGATTTTTCCTTCTTCTTTTAACTGCGTCTACTTATTAACATTTCCTTCTTGATACTACTTACCTCCTTACATATAAAGAGATACTCCTCCTTCATGCGAATCACAGTTTGACACAAATACAAAAAGAAAAACTTATGCACACATGTAATACTGCTATTCGTAAAGATTTAGGAGTTCCTTCTTATTCGCCAAATATTTTGGTTCATGATTCACTTTCAAATAAAAGATGCATTTTCTTTTCCAAAATAATTCAAGAGTAATGATTTCCCCACTCTAATTGAAACTGAAGGGAAACTGCGTAGAAAAGAATGTGCATGATGCTGAATTGAAGGATTGTGACATCATTGTCAATACGATGTTAATGATGTCACGGAACAGATAATTTCCATTTGGGTTAACTCATCGAGCAAGAAAACGAGTCCACGTCCGCACACAGCCTTTGCCGACTTCTGGCATTGAGACAAATCTACCAGTCAATTTTGAACCAGAAACGTTTGATGGTATTCACACAGAATAATTAATACCGACTCACACCAAGGCCTTTTCCAACAAAAATATATTAAAATAATCTTCACCAAAGTATACAAATTGTAGCATACATCGATACATACATCATCTCAGAAAAACAAGAAGATACAGAGGCCAAGAAAGAAGGGGCAAAGTTGCAAACATGGTTCCAGCAGACATGTTTGCTCATCTTGGATCCACGATTGGAGGCTTGATGTTTGTGTGGGCAATCTTTCAACAATACTTTCCTTATGAAGTTCGGCGGCACATCGAAAAATACTCGCAGAGATTGGTGGGTTATGTGTATCCTTACATCCAAATCACATTCAATGAGTTTACAGGGGAGCGTCTCATGCGCAGCGAGGCTTATTCTGCCATCGAGAACTATCTGAGCTCCAAATCTTCCACCCAAGCGAAGCGGCTCAAGGCTGATATCAAGAACAACCAGTCCCTTGTTCTGAGCATGGATGACCATGAGGAGGTCTCTGATGAGTTCAAAGGGGTCAAAGTCTGGTGGGCTTCAGGCAAAAACATTTCCAAGCAGCAGACTTTTTCATACACTCCCATCAATGATGAGAAAAGGTACTACAAGCTCAATTTCCATAAAGGGCAGAGGGAGCTCATAATTGGGCCTTACCTAACCCATGTCTTGAAAGAAGGCAAAGCCATTAGGGTCAGAAATAGGCAGAGAAAGCTTTATACCAACAATGGCTCACATTGGAGCCATGTGGTGTTTGAGCACCCAGCAACATTTAAGACACTTGCCATGGAGCCAGAGAAGAAGCAGGACATCATTGATGATTTAATGGCATTCAGCAAAGCAGAAGAGTTTTATGCAAGTATTGGGAGGGCATGGAAGAGAGGGTACCTTCTTTATGGCCCACCAGGTACTGGGAAGTCCACTATGATTGCTGCCATGGCCAATCTTTTGGGCTATGATCTTTATGATCTTGAATTGACTGCAGTCAAAGACAACACTGAGCTGAGGAGGCTGTTGATTGAAACATCAAGCAAGTCCATTATTGTAATTGAAGACATTGATTGTTCACTTGATCTGACAGGCCAAAGGAGGAAGAGAAAAGAGAAAGTGGAAGAGGATGAAGAGAAAGATCCAAGGGAAAAGCTGGCAAAAGAGGAAAGGGAAACAAAACCCAGCCAGGTGACTCTTTCTGGGCTTCTGAATTTCATTGATGGGCTCTGGTCAGCTTGCCGTGGAGAGAGACTGATAGTCTTCACAACCAATTATGTGGAGAAACTTGATGCTGCTCTCATCAGGAAAGGAAGGATGGACAAGCACATAGAATTGTCATACTGCAACTTTGAATCATTCAAGGTGCTGGCTAGGAACTACCTCAAGCTTGAAGCACACCATTTGTTTCCCAAAATTCGTGGGTTGCTGGAGCAAACCAATATGACTCCAGCTGATGTTGCAGAGCATTTGATGCCCAAGTCCCTTACTGGGCTTGCTGAAAACTGCCTACACAATCTGATCCAAGCTCTTGAACAGGAAATAGAGAATGGGAAGCTGAAAGCTGAGGAGG